GGTGGCCTAGGGCGATTTATCCTCCCCAAGCCTTGGTTTCCTTGATAGAAACTGGGGAATAATCTTACCTGCATGGCAAGTATGTGAGGGTTGGAGCTGATGTGTCAAGTGGCTCTGCTTCACTATGTCACAGTATTCATGTCCTATGTACAACCCCTTACCCCGGGCTGTGACTGTGGTCTCTCTTCTCCCACCCCAGTCTGAGGACGAATGCGCACTCGATTTGGACCTCGTGACTGATTTGATTCTGCACATCGATGCCCATGGGGAACCAGGTGGGTGCTTCGCCTCTGACCTGTGCCCATCCCACTCCCATTTGCCTGAGCAAGCAGCTCATGCCTGCAGGACCCTTTTACAGGTGGGATCCTGTGCTTCCTGCCCGGTTGGCAGGAGATCAAAGGAGTGCAGCAACGCCTCCAGGAAGCCCTGGGCATGCACGAGAGCAAGTACCTCATCCTGCCAGGTGAGCATTGTGTGTAGTAGTGATGGGCCCTCAAAAACCAGGCTTGCCCTCTGTCCTGGGGACAGACCCAACTGGGACTCAGGGTGCCTGGGTTACTTATCACTGGGTATATTATTTATCAGGGTCTCAGTTTCATCAAAATGGGGTTGTAATCCTTGCCCTACCGTCATCCCAGGGAGTGGTTTTGGCGGGAGCACTGTTCATAACCAGTCTGTGTCTTGCTGCCCACCAGTGCACTCCAACATCCCCATGATGGACCAGAAGGCCATATTCCAGCAGCCTCCAGTTGGGGTGCGCAAGATTGTCTTGGCTACCAATATTGCTGAGACCTCTATCACAGTCAATGACATTGTACATGTAGTGGACAGCGGTCTGCACAAGGAGGAACGCTACGACCTGAAGACCAAGGTGGCATCTATCTCCTAGGCCCAGCCAACCCTGGGGGAAGGACTCCAAGTTTCTAGGTGGCCCCTAGCCTAGATCCACTTTAGACCTGCTGTGAGTGTGTCTCAAGAAGGCCACACTTGTGGGGTCTCAGTGTCCTTGTTTTGGGGGGTCTATTAAGGGGTTATTTGAGGAGTGGGGAAGCAACGAGGAAGGCCTGTGGCTTGTGTGTCACTGCTCACCTTCCCACAGGTGTCCTGCCTGGAGACTGTGTGGGTGTCAAGAGCAAATGTGATCCAGCGCCGTGGCCGTGCAGGTCGCTGCCAGTCAGGCTTTGCCTACCACTTGTTCCCACGGAGCCGGCTGGAGAAGATGGTCCCTTTCCAAGTGCCGGAGATCCTGCGCACGCCTCTTGAGAACCTGGTGCTGCAAGCCAAGATCCACATGCCTGAGAAAACGGTGCAGCAGGGGCAGGGCTGGGCAAGGGCTGGCCTCAGGAACAAGCAGGTGGGAAGTAGGCTTATGGTGGGCTCTGGCTTGCTCTTGTAGGCAGTGGAGTTCCTCTCCAAGGCTGTGGACAGTCCAAACATTAAGGCAGTAGATGAGGCCGTGATCTTGCTCCAGGAGATTGGTAAGTGGGGACTGAGCTGGGCTGGGCCAGGCTGGGGTGTGGAGTGGCTCTCTAGGGTTGACTGACAGCTGAGCTGTTGCAGGGGTGCTGGACCAGCGGGAGTACCTGACCACCCTGGGGCAGCGCCTGGCCCACATTTCCACTGACCCCCGGCTGGCCAAGGCCATAGTTCTAGCTGCCATCTTCCGTTGCCTGCACCCTCTTCTGGTGGTTGTTTCCTGCCTTACTCGGGACCCCTTCAGCAGCAGCCTGCAGAACCGGGCAGAGGTGGACAAGGTCAGACCCAGCCCTTCCCATAGCCCTCTGGCTCTCCTGTCCAGCTCTCCATCACCTCCTGTCCAGAAGTGGCCCCCTCTAGCCCTTCCCATGACGCTGGTATCCTTGCCTCCCCTCCCCTCCCAGGTGAAGGCACTGTTGAGCCATGACAGCGGCAGTGACCACCTGGCCTTTGTGCGGGCTGTAGCTGGTTGGGAGGAGGTGCTGCGTTGGCAGGACCGCAGCTCCCGTGAGAACTACCTAGAAGAGAACCTGCTGTACGCACCCAGCCTGCGCTTCATCCACGGTCAGCCGGGCGCACTTGGTCTCCTGAGCCCCTGCTGCCCCCTCCCACACACACTGAACAGTCATCCCTGAGCCTTGTGACTAGGGGGCCCTGGGTTCACTCCACACTTTGCCTCCCCAGGACTCATCAAGCAGTTCTCAGAGAACATTTACGAGGCTTTCCTGGTGGGGAAGCCCTCAGACTGCACCTTGGCCTCTGCCCAGTGCAACGAGTACAGTGAAGAGGAGGAGCTGGTGAAGGGTGTGCTGATGGCCGGTCTCTACCCTAACCTCATCCAGGTGCTGCCTCCAGGAGTGGGAGGTGACCAAGTGTAGCCTCCTCCCCCATCCCCAGCTCAGCCCCACCCATCTTTTCCTCCATCCCTGCAGGTGAGGCAGGGCAAGGTGACTCGGCAGGGGAAGTTCAAGCCCAACAGTGTCACATACAGGACCAAATCAGGAAACATCCTGTTGCACAAGTCTACCATTAACAGGTGGGGGGCAGGCAGGACTGGATGGGACAGCTGGGAAGGACCAGAGGGGTGGCTTCACCTAGCTCTATATTCCCTAGGGAGGCCACACGGTTACGGAGCCGATGGCTGACGTACTTTATGGCCGTCAAATCCAATGGTACCGTCTTCGTCCGGGACTCCTCCCAGGTGCACCCACTAGCTGTGCTGCTCCTGACTGATGGGGATGTCCACGTCCGTGGTGGGTACCTGTAGACTCCCATTCCACTGCTCTGTCTCTTCAGGGGCCTGGCCTCACCTCAGCTCCCCACCATCTTTTTCCTTCCCCCAGATGATGGGCGCCGGGCCACCATTTCACTGAGTGACAGTGACCTGCTGCGGCTGGAGGGTGACTCTCGCACTGTGCGGCTACTGAGGGAGCTGCGCAGGGCCCTGGGCCGCATGGTGGAGCGGAGCCTGCGCAGCGAGCTGGCTGCACTTCCACCCGGTGTGCAGGAGGAGCACGGGCAGCTGCTGGCACTGGTGGTAGAGCTGCTTCGAGGACCCTGTGGCAGCTTTGATGTGCGCAAGACAGCAGATGACTGAGCCCCGCTTCCATTGGGGCTGTGTACAGAGTGCAAATGTTTATTTAAAATAAAGTTCTATTTATCCCTTGTGAGTATTGCTACCCGCCAGGGGCTCCTCTCTCAGGACCTCAGCACCTTGGGCCATGGTTCCACAAGCCAGGTGGAAAAATGGAGGTGCAGGAGGGACAGACAGAGATGTTTATTGCTGGGGGACAGGGCCAGCTGTGGCCCCAAGTCTTAGGAGAGGAAGGGGTTTAGAACTGCCTGCCCCCCATCTCCAATAGTTTGAACCACCAGTGCTATCAGCCAGCTTGAACTGCTTGGGCTAGTGCAGGTCTTTGGGGCACAACTACTCCTGCAGGTACCTGCACCATGGGGAGCCTGTCAAAACTGTCGTTGTCCTTGTAGGTTTTGGACAGCAAATGTGGAGCAGCCCCTTCCCAGGCAGACGGTAGGGAGACAGTTCCACAGGTAGCTAAGGTCCACTTGGACCTTGATCCTGGAGTTGTGTGTCAGCCCTGCCACAAGCACAGCTGGCACTTTCCTTTGATCACATCCACAAATGCATAGATGAGGGTGCTGGGTGCTGAGGTCGTCAAAACAATGCATAGCACACACCAGTCCCTCAGTGCAAGGGGATGGGAGTGATGAGCAGTCATAGACACAGGCAGTGGAGACAAATCAAGACATAGAAGCAGCACAGGGCCTGCATAAAGGGACATCAGGCAGCTTTATTTACTCTTGAAATCATTACAACAGAACCACAGGTGGACACAGGTAATGGCTGAGCCATAATTGAGTACAGAAGTATCCCACCCGCAAACGTAGTACATGTCACATGGGCCACTGGTCCCCACCTGTCAGGCCAGCCTTTCCAGGTGCTGTGACATGGGACCCATCAAGGAAACTGTGACCAACCTCTAAGAACACTGACCACTCCCTGCTGCCCACCTAGAGAGCTCTCATTGGGTTATCTCCCTCCTGACCCTTGGCCAAAGGAGTGAAAGGACCCAGAGCCTACTGTCAACCTCAGCATCCTTGTGGCCCCAGGATCAACACAGACGGCAGCAGGTACCTTTTTGCCCATTGCTCTCACCCCTGCCACATCTCTTTACTCCCAACCCCCATTGCTTCATTCTCCCCAAATTGATCTTGCCCATTCCTCCTACTGACAAAACACCGGTGTGCCCTGATGTCCCTGGCATGGTTGAAATATTCAGCAGTCAGTCACTGGGGAAGAAAGCCAGTACCCTCTGGCTCAGGTAGCACTTTTTCCAAGGCTCCTACAATTTCTGGGTGTGTGCTGGGGGAACTGGGGATATGGTGTCAAGCCTCCCCAAGAAAACTGCTACCTCAGAAATGGGGAAGAAAGACCCATCAGGACCAGGGACACCCTCCCTCTACATGGAGATCAAGTCTGAACCAAAGTAAATACCCCTACCTTCTCCAGCTCCAAGGGACACCAGGAGCAGAGGGGCAGAGAAAGGAGAGCCTCAGGGGCCACGTCTGAGCAGCTTCCTCAGAGGCAAATCTGCGCAGCAGAAAATGCCCCTGTAGAGAAGTGCTCGAAAACTCCCAGGCCATTTCACTACAAACTTATGTTTTAATCCTTTATTAGAAACCATGCAAACTTTAATACAAAAAATACAAGTGCAATAAGAATTTTTGTGTCAATACAATTCCCGGGATTTCTCATCATTGCAGCCATCCCAAAACCAGGCCTGGCTGGGATACCCCTCAGCAGGCTGGCCTCATTCCTCCCCATCCAGGCTATAAGTAAGTGGGATGGCCTCAGTCTTATGCCTTTTATTTTTAAATTTCCAGACCTGATTCCCCACCATCCACTTGAGTTCTGGACATCGCAGGCTCCCCTGGACATGGGGGGTCGAGTGTCCTAGCCCTGCAGGTACAGGTCTGAAGGATTTTGACCTCCATGGCCCTTTCCTGTTTCTCCAGCCCTGGCCTTGTATCCCAGGCCTGACCACCAGATCCCAAGGAATATAACAGAGATGCCAAAACCAGCATCTTGGTTAGAAAAGAAAAGCAGCATACACACAAAATGCCAAAACAACCAGTCCACACTCTGACCAGCCCCTAGTGTGCCTGACCTGTTCATCAGGCCACAGCCCTGCACCTCACTTCCTTGCCCACGCCATCACCAGGGCTCCAAGCTGCACAGAGCAGGACAGCCCCCACTGCCTGACATCCTCCTGGGTGGAGGCTTAAGGATCTCCCCTCCCTATTTCCTTTAACACCTACTGCGGACTTTCATTTAGACATGGCTTCAACCTGCAAAACTATTTCACCAGTTTTTAGGTTATTAGGAAAAAAAAAAAAAAGGATAAAATAAGAAAAAGAAAAGTGTGACAGCAGCTAGGCAGGTATGGTGAGCAGCGGGGATGGGCAGCACTGACCGCTAACTAACTTGGGTGGGGCAGCAAGGGGGGCCTGGGACCACCTGCATGATGGGGCACCATTGTGGGGTCAAAGGGAGAGGCAGTGGCTTAGCGGGCTCCAGGGGACAGTCAGTGCCTGGTCATCACACGGAATCCACCTCCACGCTTTCCTCCAGGTTGATGCAGGCAGGAAGGAGTGAATGTCAGTTTCTCTTGGGTTTGGTCCAAAAAACCCAAACAAAGAGGAGGTTAGAATCCAGTTTCCCCCTCCTAGACCCCACAAAATCCCAACTTAGCCTTATCCATCCCATTCCCCTCCCAACCTTTTCCACACAGCAGTGGTGCAATGATGGGATGGGAACAGAACAGGGAGCCGCCCAGGCAGGGAGTGGAAGGAGGTGTGGGAGCAGGGCTGCTGCTGCCCTGGGCGAGCAAGGCAGGGGAGGGAGGGCCTGGAGGGCTGCCCAGCACCCAAGCGCTCACAGGACTAGAGGACAGCCCGGGAAAGGGAGCCAAGGGCCCAGGAACCCGAGATGGGGCCGCCAGGGAAGTGAGGGGGGCGGGAGACAATGTCGGCCCCGTGGTCGGTGCGGGCCCTGGCATTTGCCCGGAACGTCAGCCTGTAGGTCTCAATCTGCAGTGACACGGGAGGAGGGAAGGGAGAGGGGAACGGGCAAGACAAGAAGGGGAACACAGGGGAGATGGAAGACGAGACCAGAATGTCATCATTAGATGCCTGGAAAATAAAAGGTTACTTCGTTAAAATTTAGGCCACATTCTAGTCAAAAAAGAAAGGAGCTTCAATTTGCGGCCAGTGGCAGGGCCCCTGGCTGGCCCTCAAGCTGAGCCCAGCCACTTACTTGTCTCCTGGATCTGGGTGTCCAAGGTCTGGGCCTCCCTTTGGTCACCACCCCCTGACAGGGTGGTGTGGCCACTGAGGCTACTGGCTGAAGTGGGGGCGCCAGCTTCAGGCGCTGCCTCAGAGATGGTGGGCTCCTCCCCTGCAGGGGGGCCCGGACACGGAGGGGCCTCGCTGCCACCGCCCTCAGTCTACAATGAAACAGTTGGGGAGACAGTGCAGGGTCAGTCTGGGAGGGAGTGGGATGGGGGGATGGTGGTGGGATTTACATGTAGCCCCACCCCTGCTGCCCTGGCACCCACTGGCTCAAGGTGCAGTCACCTGGAGAATTTGAACCAGGCAGTGTCTGCCCCTCCCCCCACCGCCACTCATGAGATCCACTCCAGAGACTCTGGAGCAGCTGGGCTAGTGTCACATGCTGGGAGCTGCTCTGTGAAACACAAAGCTTTGTGAAGCCTTTCTGCAGTGAGAGGTGCCAGGCTTCCTAACAAGGCTGGTGCCAAATAAAAAGTAGCTATGACAAGCCTGAAGAGCAACCTCAAGATGCTGCGCCTGGACCTAGTTGGGAAGCGAGGGTGCTGCAGGCTGGGTGCACAGCTTCTCGAGGGGTGCAGATGGCCACTCTGACCCCCCATGCTGCAGACCGCCCCCTGAACATAGCATGTGCTCAGAGAGGGGTCCTCAGTAATTTGCACAGCACCCCTGCCCACTCATCTATCTGGTCACTGAGGTCTTCCCTGTGTTGGGCACTGTTCTGGGGCCAAGGGGCCTAGAGGGCTTCTTGGGAGGAGAAGGACATCTGGGGGACACTGAACATTCAGTGTGAGTAGAGCAAAGAACAGTGGTGAACTGGAATGCCTGTGTCCCAAAATGCCCAGAATGTTACCGTGGACACTCCACAGTGGTTTTAAATCAGAATAGTGAAAGAAATAGGCCTCTGTATTAGAAAAATAATTCCAGAAATAATAAAGGGAGATAATGTGAATAAAGAAAAGAACACAGGACTAGGGGTCAGAAAAGCCCCGGTGTGAATCCTGGTCTGCTCTTGCTTGCTGTGTGGCCTCAGACAAGTGACTAAATCTAAGTTAACGCCCCATTGAGAGAGAATCGATTCAGAAAGACTAAAGAATGGCATCCTCACATGGTGTGGGGGACACAAACAGGGACCCCAAAAATATTCATGCAAGCCAATCAGGGCTTAAATCTGAGCACCAACAGAGGATAGGACAAAAGGCTGGGTGGGGACTGACTAGCACAGGGTGAGCAGATGCAGGAGGGAAGGCCCAGAGCAGCGGCTCCTGCCCCCTGCCTTGCTTGCCTTTCCCTGAGCAGCTGCAGCTATCCTCATGCTTGTAATTCTGCAAGATGCTGCCCCTATGGGTCCCCCCCTTCCTGCCAATGACATGGGAAAAGGACAGACAGCATCCTGGCACACAAAGGGTCTCAGTACTGTGGAAGGAGGGAGGGAGGAGAGAGGAGAGGGAGGGAAGGGAGGAGAGGCCCAGCCAGTCCTGAGCATGGGAAGCTCTGCCACTCGAGCTCTCTCCCAGAGCCCCAGGTGGGGCAGGCCACGGCAGGCCCTCCGGATGCAGTGTCCAGAGGCAATGCCGAGCCTGCTGTCACTGGTAGCTGAAAATGTGCTATCCTGCTCCCAGGCTGGGAATGGAGCCCAACATGGAGCAGGTACCTACATTGTCCTCCTCCATGAGACAGCTGGGGAGAGCTGTGTGTGCAGAACTGCCACTTGCCTTGTGGTGATCTTGGCCCTGACTCAGTCCCACTGAAAATGGCAGGGATGGGCTTGTGAAGTGAGGGCCATGGCTCTCAGGAGCAAGGTTCTGCCTCTTGCTGCCAGGTGAGAGGTGGCTAGGCTGGGGCCTCTTCACCTATCCTGCCTCAATCAGGACTGATGATGGACGATGGAAAACAGCAATGGTGTGAGTAAAGACATGACTCCTGAAGAGACTGAGGGGCGGTGACAGACACCTACCTGGCCAGGGCCTTGACCCTAGCTGTAGTCCCCACCCCTCCCCAGCTGTGTCCCCCTGGTGACCCACTCGCTACCTTCACAGCACCTCCTGCAGGCAGGTGGCCCACGTTATCGAGGGATCCCACCTTTGCCTGGGCCTTCTCTTTGAAGTTCAACTTCTGACTTTCAATCTTGACATCTCCTCCACCTGGAACCAAAAAGAAATTGGTCACTAAGGGTGGCAGAAACACCCCTATAGGCAAAGCCAGGAGCCTGGAACAGTAATCTGAACTTGGCCAAGGACTGGCTATGTGCCCAATCTAGAATTGGGGAAAATGTGACCTGCTTCCTGGTGGCTCTAAGGACGAATGAGGAGACACAGTGAACATGCTTATCAAAAAAGGGCTAGTGCTATCAAAGTGAGGCTAAGACAATCTCTCCAGCCTGCCAGTAGGGAAACCCCCACAGAGAAGGAAAGCCATCCTTCCCACCAGCCCAGGCCAGAGCCTGCACAGCTGCTGAGCAGGCTTGGGCAGATCTGGGGTGCAGAGCACAGCCTCCAGGGCGAACCCTCTACATGTACCTAGGTGAACGACTGCATCTGATTCTCTTGGCAGTGTGACAACACCCTCTAGCTAACCAGGCCATGTAGTGTTGTGTTTCTCAGGCACAGCCAGCCTCCCTGAATTCTCATAAATGCCCTGTCAAGGTCACAACTCTTGTTTCACAGCTACTAAAACTGATGCTGGAGAAGAGAGTGACTAGCCCAAAGTCACCACCAAGGTAGTGACTGACAGGCACAGGATGTGAATATCATTTGTCCGAGCCCTTTAACAGAATCACACTGTAGTGAAATGAAGGAGAGAGTGGCCTCAGGACTGTGAGTTGAGGAAGGGCAGACATGAACCAAGCCAGCCCTCAGGCTGGGATGGACAGGGAAGGTGACCTGTACCCAAAGGTAAGGTTCAGAGTTCACTGGCCAGAGCATGGCCACGAGATCAAGGGAAGGGTGCAGGGTAGACTGCCCTCACTGGGCACCCAGCACCCCACCCCCTGGCCCAGCAGCTTGGCTTCCCTCTGAGCCCTTCCCTACTCTTCCATCTCCTCTCAGCTCCCGTCACAAACCTCAACACCTGGCTTATGGCTGAATTCTGCAGGTGTCCCACACACTCGGCCCTGGCAAAAACTACACCTCAAATTACTTAGTGTCATTAGGGAAGGAGGTATCTCACAAGAGTGGAGTTTCCAGATTAAAAATAAAAAGGTTAGTTAAAGACCAAACTGTTCTGATCTTTTAAAATGGAACACATTCTAAAATGTATCCTACTCGTTGCCAAGACAAGAAGGGAGTTTTCTTTGCCTTCACCTAATTGGCTTGTGGTGGCTGACCTTCTGAGACACCAAATCTGCCAGACAGTGTGCCTACTGCTGCAGTGAGACTTCTCTACCCCCAAATCTGTTGCAGACCTGGGAAGCAGGACACACGAGGCTGTCAGGGCAACAGCCAAGGCAAGAGCCCAGGCTCTGCTCTGAGGTCTCTGGGGGGACACTGGACCAACTGTGTTGCTGAAAGGAAAGTGCATGGCTTCAGTTGCAAGATTCATGTCCTCGTACCCAGGCAGCATTACTGAATGCCGCTCATTCTCCTGCCAGGGCTAGTGGTTGATGCTTTACTGCTTGGGAACATCCTTTGCTCCTGAATCTGCCAGGTAAGTCCCGACCACCACTCTTTACAGACCTCCTTCAGTATTAGCTCCTGGAATGTTTATCTGGGAGGCTGATCCAGGTTCTCAGCCGACAGTGAATCTCTCCCTTAGGTCCAGGTCAACAGTGCCATGTGCACAGCAGGTGCTCAAGAGAATGCCTGTGCAAACAGCAGCCTTTACAAACTGTTCCTCCTCGAACTGAGGGGCCAGCACCTAACTCCTCCTCCCTGACAGGGACTGAGGACTATACTGTGTCCTGGGTGGGAAGTGGCTCCCTGAATATTGATGGCGGGATAAAGGCACAGGGACAAAACCCTCCCCAGTCAGAGGGCTGCCCAGCTGGCCTGTGACAGGAACATCAGGTTCCGGGAGTCCCGGGGGCAAGGGAGGTGCCACTCACCTGGCTTGTGCTTGATGTTAGCCTTGGATCCACACTTGGAGGAGACCTTAGAGATGTCCACTTTCTTGTTCTGAATCTGAACCTGAGGAGGAGAACATGAAGAAATTACTGCCTCACAGAGAAGGTATATTGTCAGGGCCAAACCCATGCTACCTTTGTAATCTTCTCCATGTTCAATTTTTTTCTCTCTCTCTGTAAGCCCCTATATACTAGTCAGTTCAAGGTCAGGATCACCTCCCAAAGTGCTTAAAAGAGCCCTTGATCCACCTGGCTCTGCTCTTTACTTCTGACCCCACCTCCAGCCAGGCCAAACCACTGCCTCCTACGCATGCGCAGGCCTCCCATCCAGACCCTGTCCTATACCCTCCAGACAGTTATCTCATTTTTCCTGGTCCAGAAACCAACATCAAGGCTCTCCTGAAATGTCCCTTTTGTTCTGCCTCAAAATCTTATACATCAAGTCCTTTCACAGAGAATCCTGTAGTAACATTTTGACATATCTCCTTCCAGTTCTTTTCAGTGCATTTTCCCTCGTGGCTGACAGCACAGCCATTATGTGTGTGCATGTGTGTGTGTGTATATAATTTTGTATTCCCACTTACTTCATATTATATTCATTTTACCATTAAGATGGTAAATACAAAGCAAAGGCCGCATAATAATCAATCTATCCTATAATATCCTATATAAATCTAACCATATTCCTAATACTGAACATTTAGGTCACTTCCAATGTTTCACTACTGTTAACATGGCAGCAATGAGTATCTTTGTGACTATAAAATTCATTGCAGCTCTGATAACTCCCTCAGGCAAGATGCACAGAAGTTCAATTACCTGGTCAAAGATTCATAGCTTTAAGGTTCTTAATGCTAAACTGCTTTCCAGAAATGCAACAATAATTGATACCTCCACTTTCTGTGTTTCTGTCTCACCATATCCTTCCAGCACTGGATATTCTTACTAAAGAAAAAAACTTGCTAATTTTCTTTTTTTGTGGCTGGCTGGTAAGAGGATCCCAATCTTTGACTTTGGTGTTATAACGCCTTGCTCTAACCAACTGAGCAACTGGCAAGCCCTAACCCTTGTTACTTTGTAATAGAAAAATGCTTCACTCTGGTCGCTTTGGTTATTAAGGATAACTCTTCGCGTTCTTATGAATGTGTGACACGCACCCTCCCCTTCCCCCGAGTATGCTCTCTTTCCAGCATCCAGTGGAAAGCACTGTTGGGCACAATGGTATGTCTCCCCCTAAGTCCTGTCCCTAACAGCCCGCAGCTCTACATCTGCAGTGACTATGCCCCTTCTGCTTTTTTCCTCCCTACAGGCCTCCCCATAGGGCCTTTCGTTTAGCTGACATTCTTTCCATGTTTGGTGAATAATCAAAAGGATGAACTGCCTTACAAGATTATTCACCCAAAATGAATCACGGTACACATATGCCTTGGAGTTTGAGACTCTCTACTTGGTCCTGCTTTTAAATTAGCCAACAGATTTTCATCAATGTCTGTCCTGTAGGAGCCTGGAAAAACAACTGGATACCAGGACTGATGACATGTCTTTAAATCAAGAAACATTATCTATAGACACGAGTGCTCTCTGGGTTCCCGGATGGGGACCTCAGGGTTCCTGTGAGTGGCCCAGCTCTGCTTTGGTACTGTGGAAGTCTGGCTTTCCAACACAATCAACTCCTTCATGCAGTGGCCCCTGTGAACAGGTGTCACAGCGTTCTAGTGGGGTTTAACCACAATCTGTTAAACAGCTAGCCCCATTCTTGGGCCTTGTCTTCCTTCCTTCAGTATCAGGAAATGTGGTCTCCGCTCTACCATATTACAAGAGGACAGATGTGGTGTCTTCTATATTTTCATATTTCCACCCACAGCCCAAGGACAGGAACATTTAACTACCCACAATTGTCAGCTCACCTGGGTCACTCTCACTCCTGCTTCCAAAGCAATGCTCATGCTGTTCCCTAACCTAACAAGTCCATTACATTCTCCTCTCTTCAAGGCACAGCTCAAAGCCTGCCTCTCCAAAGCCTTGGAAGGCTCTAGCTTCAGTCCATCTCTTCCTCCCATCATCTCTTGAAGGGTACCATCATGAACTGTACAGTAATTGCTTCACATGTCCAATAATCACTTACAGAGTAGCTACTATTGTGAAAACACACAGCCTCTACTCTGTCTCACCTTTCTAAAAGGCTACAGTTTTCCCTGGACAGGCATAAGTTTTTTGTTTTCTCTTCAATCCATAGATCATTCCACAGATATTTATGGGTATCTCCAACATGGAAGAAGTTTATGATACATTACAGAGGCCTCCTAAACATGAGGATAGTTCATAAAGTTTGTGGAAGGGCTGGCCCATGGCTCACTTGGGAGAGTGCGGTGCTGACAACACCAAGGCCATGGGTTCAGATCCCTATATAGGGATGGCTGGTTGGCTCACTTGGGAGAGTGTGGTGCTGACAACATCAAGTCAAGGGTTAAGATCCCCTTACTGGACATCTTTAAAAAAAAAAAAAAAAGGTCGTGGAAAAATAGGATTAAAAGATAATACAAATCTTTCCATGAACTTTTTGAAGTACCCTCTTATGTACTGATGGGAAGGAGAACTCACCAGTTACAGAGTTGGTGGTCAAACCACTGTAAATGCTTTATCTGGGGTTAGAACAAGGTATTTGGTTTATAATTTGTCAGTGGCAGAAATGGCCAATTCAAGAAGAGAGAGCCATAAAGGCCTCATCCATAATCACCCCCACCGCCCCTGTTCTTGTTGCTCATAGGGAGAACAGAGGAAAGTGTACTTTTCCTAGTCAAATATCTGGCAGTTACTTAAACCACCCACCATGTGTCCTGAAGTAATGGTGACAAGCTCATCTTACACCATCCGTGAGCAGTTAACAGAGGCTGACAGTGTTCCACACTTGCAGCCTCCATTTCTTTACCTTTTGCCTAGTCCTCAATTAAAGAGTTGAAGAGGGGAAGTTTCGCTTTACGGATGTACTGCAGCTAATGAATGGACAAGGAATGCTAGACCGAGAGGCTAACCACGGTGCACCTCTACTGAACTCATGGGTCTAGGTATTTGCCTTGGCTTGAATGTAACCCCAAAATGTAATCCCCAGTGTAACTGTTGAGGGTGGGAGATCCTATTACGATAACTGAAAGGTAGGGCCTTGAAGACATGATTAGATTGTAAGACCATACTGTAGTGAATGGATTAAAGATGGTGGTCAGGGCCGTGGATCTGAGGGCTTTAAAAAAAGAGTGAATGAGGAGGTTACTCTCTCTGCTCTGCTATTTCACAGTGTGATACCCTGATATTGCTGTCACTGTTGCAAAAAATTTTATTTTCTTTCTAAATTACCCAGTTCCAGGTATTTTGTTATAAGCAACAGAAACGGACTAATACAGTATTCATTGCCAAGACCACAAAAAGAGAGACAACCAGAAGAATGAGATACGAATATGCCTCCTGATAGAAAAAAAACGCACTACCTATTAAAATCTTGCCAAAACGTGGGAGGAAAATTCAACCTGAATCAATTTAAAGAAAATTAAGGGACAAAGGAATATATTAAATGAAACCATGTGGTTTATAATCAGTACAATTCAGATTCCAGGACAAACTATTCAGTTTACTCATCAAAGAAAATTACTAGAAAAAAAAGACGGAGGGGGAACCTGTAGAGTAAAAGGAACAAGATTAAAAGAATAGATTCTATATTATATATATGTATAATTATTACCATTATTAGTATGCAACGTTAATACACATGAATAGAGGTATCAATCTATGTATATATAATATATATAAAATATATATTTTTAAAGAGTCCTTATCTCTGTTTTGTTTTTTGGCATCTGGCCGGTATGGGGATCCAAACCCGTGACCTTGGTGTTCCCAGCACCATGCTCTCCCAAGTGAGCTAACTGGCCAGCCTACTCCTTATCTTTTAAACTTATATACTAAAACATTTTCAGATGAATGATATACCTAGCACTGGCTTCAAAATAATTGGGGTGCAAGGGTTTGGATCTCTGTACTGGCCAGCTGTTGAACAAAACAATTAGGGTGGGCATATATAGATAATCCAAGATTGGCCACGTAGACAGTAAATGAAGCTGGGTAAATGGTACATCAAGTTAATTTTACTATTTTTTTTACTTATGTAAGTTTGAAAATTTTCACAACAAAAAGTTTTAGAAAGCTTAAGTGAGCCCCAGTCATTTAACGAGGCCCACTACCTCTAAGATAGAGCTCTCCCTCCTGAGGCTAGTATGTGGAGGACTCTACAATCTGCTTCCAGACAATTCCCCCCACTTTTCTTTCTTCCCTTGGTCACCTGCCTCCACTCTAGGGAATCATGTGCTGCTTCTCTAGCCTAGGGTGTGTGCCCACTTCATAGGCTGGCCCAAACGTCTCCTTCTCAGTGAAACCTGCCAGGCAGAAACGTGCCCGTCTCTGCATGGTCCTCTTCTTGGCACACAACCAACCATGCCATCCAGTGCACCTTGCTCTGCTAGTGTGTTCATACAGGCTGCCCCAGTGGTCTGTGAGGACCTGCAGGCCTTTTGCACATACCAAAATATGCTGTTGAAAGGAGCTACCAACAGGTCCCATTACACATATTTACACAAAATCTTTACATTACATTACACAAAATCTTAACTGGGACATGGCACAGAAGAAGCTGCTACACTTGACAAATTAACACATCACTCCTTTCTCTCCCCTGATATCCTTCTGGCCCTCGTATGTGTATGTGGGGGGCATTTTTGGAGCACTACCTGGGATCCTGCTCCAAGCCTCTCATCCTAATGGTTAATAGCAGAATTTCTAAATGTGGGTATGCGTGTGTATGTGTTTTTGGGTGGGGGGTGGGTGTGTAATGTTCTGTCTGCATAGCGGGCCCACTACTTTTAAACTGCATGTTTACTGTGGTATCCTTTGGAGGGGCTGATGGAGGGTATGGAAGGAAGTAAAGCACCTCAGTCCAGGCTGTGGTCAGCTGCTGTTTACCCTCATCTTCCCACCTGGAAACTGCTCACAAGTGGTTTCCTAGTGCTCTCTGTTTAAGGAAGCCTCCTAAAATCAAAATGCTTTTACAAAAGTACATTCATCCTAAAAGAAAATCTCATTTGAAGTCATGTATAGGCAGTGTGGAAAGATCATAGCAGATGATGGGTAAATGACTCTTTTCAAAAGACACACACATACACACACCCCAATTCCCTCGGAATTCCTGTCCACCTTCTGTTTTCATCCAGGCCAAAGATGTGACAGGAAAAGCTAGGATTAGTGCCATGGGACCTCCCAGGCTGAATCTTTATCACCTTCATCACACCACCTCAAAAGTTTCACGCACTTCAGCTATTCCCATGCCAGGTCGGTAATGTCTGGCCAATTACCAAGCTGGTCAAGCACACTCTAAGTACAAAGGCTGCTGTTTCTGCCCAGGCCAGGAAGAGCCCCCAGTGAGGAGATGACTATGAAGGAGCAGGAAGGGGGAAGGAACACTCTCCAGCTGCCTTCTTCACAACAGAACTGCTGGGGTGAGAGCTGTTCGTAGGCCATGGGCAGAACGGCACAACCATCTTAGGAGCAGGGGAACAGAGTCTGAAAATGAAAAGGGTAAGCGGAGCAGGACTTAGTCCAGCTCAGGTCAGTATGGAGAAGGAACCAAACGAATGCAGGAGAAACTGAGATAGGATGGGCTCTCTCCCTCAGGTTGGAAGAGAGGCAGTGAGCGCAAGGGCTGTGGGTGACAACTCCCCAACATGCCCCTGGCACAACTCTGTAGATTCCCAACTGCCTGGGCTCTATCACAGGGACAAGTGGAAAACACACTGGGTGTTCTTTACATACTAAGTGACAATCATATTTTGCCCTGTCTCCCCACAGACTGAACCTCCCTGTGAGCTGGAATCACCTATGTCTTCAACACAGATTGTAGAGCTGGCACAGAGCAGCAGCATGATAAAAGAAGGATGTTAGGATGGAAGAGGGAAAGGAACAAAAATAAACGGAGGGAAAGAGGACTAAAAAAGGAAGAAGGAATTAGAAAAGAAGAAAATAGAGAAAAGAGAATAGAAAGCGAAAAGGGAGAAGAAGGTAGGGAGAAAAAAGGAGAAAAAATAGAAAGGAAAAAAAGGAGAGAGAAGGAGAGTAACAAAGATAAAAGAAAAAGCAGAAAAAAAGAAAAATGTTGATTATAATGATTCCCTCATTTTATAATGACAAAGATTTGAGGATGGACTTTGGAAAGATGTGGCCATCTGCCTCAGGGTAGAGACCTGCACAGTGCACATGGGCATGCAGACAGACATATGCATCCCAGGAATGGATGCAAGACGGGCAACAGGCCTCCTGCTGACCACTCACTGACCACAGTCTAGGTCTCTGACATAGCTGCAGGAAAACCCAAAACCTCCCACCGCATGGATGAAAAGATACCAGGTGGGTGTCAGAAGGGTGCTGTTTAGGGGCTCACCAGAAACACACACAGTTTATACACATTTGAGCACTGAGGTTTGCCCTCACTTCTCTAGTCTGCTACTTAGAGAAAGCCCCAGCCCAGAGCACTGTGGTCCTGTCTGCAGGGGCAGGTAGCCCTCTACCCAGTGCACCCCACAGTGGGCTATGCCTCAGATGCCCACTGGCCAGAGCTTATACTTACATTACCACCTCCAGGGACATGCTTAATATTGTCCTTGGAACCACACTTGGACTGAATATGGCTGTAGCTCACTTTTTTGGAGACTATCTGGACCTGGAGTGTTAGAGAACAGAAAAAACAACACAAAGGGAGAGGGCTGGTTAGAACCGACACAGGGCAGGCAGTGAGTCCACACATGATTGCAATGACCAACAAAGAGTGCTGTTAAACCTCCGCCCCTTCCTTTGGCAGAACAGGTGTGGAAAAGCACAGGAAAAGGAATTTGAAAGAACAAGAAGGGGAGGGAAAACATGAACAAACACAACAACAGAAGTAGATGTTGCAAAAGCACCACATGGCTGTCACCACAGTTCCTTGGGGGCTGGGCTATAGTTCACGAGGCCCAGACTGCAGCAGGCCTGATGCCCACCCAGGCATGGCTCCACCTTCTTGTCCTGCTCACTCCCCAAGAGCTGGGCATAGTGTCCTTGGCTCCTCTCTGTAAGGTTCCTGATTATCTGGACCTGTCCTCACCCAAGGAGGGCAATTCCGTTAAATCTGGAGCCTGGAATTGCTGCAAGCCAGACCCACACTTAGAAGCAAAGGCTGCTCTGAGAAGCACTGGGCAGCTGGCTAACAACAGAGATCTGATACTAACAGGAAGGAAGGGACATTGCTCATATACAAATGTAAATAGACACAGAATCTTGGACACAAGGGGGAGCACAGGCTGCAGCCTCAGCAGCTTCCATACTTAGCCCATTTGTCTCAAGGGCTCAAAAAGCACAGTACAAGAGAGGTTTAGGACTAGACTTATTTATTATTTTTTTTTAAAGATGACCGGTAAGGGGATCTTAACCCATGACTTGGTGTTGTCAGCACCACGCTCTCTGAAGTGAGCTAACTGCCATCCCCTATATAGGGATCCAAACCTGTGGCCTTGGTGTTATCAGCACCACACTCTCCCAAGTGAGCCACTAGACTTATTTTTGATTTGAGGGTAAAACATCTTTTTGCATCCGCCTTATCCTGCGCCCTATGAGTTTCATGTGCAAAGAGAACAGGCCCTACGCAGGGCTACAGTGAAACTCCATCCTGGAGACACATTTACATCGTATTGTAGATGAATGGCTTCCCTCTGGAATTCTGCAACACTAAGGGTTTGGAACAAAGAATTCTTTTTGGACCTTCCCAAGAAGGAATAGTTGCTAGCTAGCTTCCTTCCTTCATTACAGAGCCAAAGGCTCTTTGCAAATGATGCAGTCCCCAGACTAAAGAACTCTACAGAGTACAGAAATTCACCCTGACAAATTCCAATCCATACACCTCATTGTACCTTGTCATTTCTTGCCTTTTTCATAACTTGAATGATGAATAATTGTTTAGCAAACTACTTCCTAATGAGCCCTGTCTGAATGCAGAGACCAATGGGACCTCTAGTAGTCACCCAGAAGCCACAGTGCTGTCGCCTTCACCTCCCCTACTGTACGAGTTCGTCAGGTTGACACTTACCATCCTGGTCCCTAACGGCTGCAGCTCAGGCTTCTCTGGCAGCCCTTGGCCAGAGAGGCCCACCTACCTGCCACAGCTAAAGGAGGAAGGTGTCCCACAGCAGGTAGGAGGGCCCAGTTCCAGGGGAGGCAAAGGGAAAGAACCTAGAGCTTAGGTGGACCTCTGCCCTCCAGCTGATGTTACATTTCCTCTAAGTGGGTTCCACGGGGAACGAGCATCTTAACTTTCATTTAAGAGGTGACCTCTTATAGGTGACAAATGATGCTATCTCCATACTCATGCAGCATTAGGTGAGGGACTTTCTAGCTCCAGTTAAAGCACAGGGGCTCCAGGGTTCCAAGTGCTGGAAGCTTACCACTGCCAGGTCTTACTGAGGAAGAAGCTGGGTGCACCGTGTGTCTGTGTGCATAGCAGGTGTGTTTCAGATCAAGTGAAGGAAGTCACAAAGTTTTTGGATATGTTTTATCCAGCTGAATAAATAGTCCCCAAAGGGCTAATGGGCTCCCAACTCTGTCATCAAATACAGAGAAGGGAACATGGGAGAGAAGTAGAAACTAGTTAAGGACAGGAAAAAAGTACAATAGAAGGGAAAGTGACTGGAAGAAATATCTTCTCATCTTTTACCTTCCAGAGATAAGTCTAAATAAAACTCACTTTCCCAGCAGGCGGTTTCTGTGCACTCGCAATTGGGCCGGCTGTTTTAGTAACTGCATTAGGTTCAGGCTTTCCAGCTGAAGCAGCTGCCTCTGTTTTTTTCTCTACTTTGGCCTGGATAGAGATAGAGGGAGGGCAAGTTTCAAACCAAGAGAGTAAGAACCCAAATGTCAAGAAGGGAAGGCTGTAGGGGACTCGAATCCAGGCCAGGCCACCAGGCAGAAGCAGGTTACCCTTGCTCGTACGAAAAAACACACATCTCCCAGGGTTGACCAAGCCAGAGATCCCCAAGTAGAGGACCACTGGGAGAACAGCTGCAGACTCAAGACTTGAGATACAAGGAAGAGATTAAGTTCCGTTTTACAGGAAAAGGTACAGAGAAAGGCTAATAGGGCCAAACTAGTGATTCTCTTCTGAGTGGACGTTGGGATTATCATTTTCAAATCACAGTGCCCTCCTGCTCAAATGTTCTGATATGCCCCAAGCAAGGTGCCATGGTCACAGAGAACTACTATTGGTGATGGGAAGTATCATACTCTTCAGGTATGCTGGAACAGAAAATAAGTCAATCACTAGAGCAAGTTACTCAATTCTCCTCCAAGATCTCCTGCAACTTTTGCACCATGAAAGCATAAGAAGAGCAAAGAGAGGTGGGGATGGGCCACCAGCAGCACAGCCCCACAGGCTTGTCTAGGTATGCGAGGGCCACCATCCCTCACAGAAGGCAACGTTAAGCTCTTATCCCAGATGGATCTCACTTTGCCACCAGTGTCTTCCAACTGTACCAGGATTCTGTCTCATTTTTGTCCCTCCTCAATGTTTTAACAGCTTTGGACTGAAGCAATATAAGTATCCTATTCTGGGCGGTGGTTGTGGTGGTTTAGTGCTGTAGGAGGTAAGATGGCTTATCTCCTATAAATGAGGTAGGAAATAAGCTGGTTAGTACTCCCGGGACTTTTGCCACCACCTCTTTCACACACTGAGTCCCTATGGTTGCTAACAGTTAACAAATAATTCTGGGACTCACACAACCAGAAATCCTTAAAGTGAAGCGCTGCTGTGGCCTGACGTGCCTTTCTCTGTCACTATATCTAATGCAGTCCTGTTGAGAAAAAAGCCAGAGGCTTGCAGCACAACTCATCCTGGCCATAAGAGAACACAGTCCTCTTTTAGACAGACACCCCACTCAGGTCATGGGTTGTGGAACTAAGAGGGGTTCCACCTTCTGCCTATCCCAACACTCATGATGTAGAGTAAGAATGATGCAAAGTTGGGTTCATGTCCAGTATCTTTCATCCTCTCAGAGTCTCTGAGGCCTCCTCTGTTTCTTTTGTAAGACAGAAGAATCCCTTTACTTCCAAACAAAAATGCAAACCCAAACTCCAACATACAGAACAGAAGCCCCTCTGATTGAGATGCAAAGAGAAAGCCCAGAGCTCAGCCCATCCCTTCCCTGCTGCTGGGGCACAAAGTCCACTACGGAACCCAGGCTGAAATTCTCTGATGCTGAATCAGATGCTTTAACAGCCCCACTTCTTTGGTGGGCCTGTGGAACAGTGGTTGAATGTGACAGGGAAAAGGCAGGGGCCAGCATGCCAAAACCCCCCAAAATCCCAAGCTCTCTGGACCTACCCGGCCTCCTCCAGGCTGATGCTTGATGTTTTCCGTGGAGCCAACCTTGGACCGGACATTCTTCAGGTCAGGGGCAGAAGCATTGGTGGCCAGGCGGCTCAGTCTGGGGGCAGAGGAGCTGGGCTTGGCCGAAGTGGGCTTCTTGTCTGTGGGAGGAGGCATGGAGGGCCGGGGAGGCGTGGGGGTAGACTTGATTCGAGTAGAAGCCACCCCCGCCGGGGGTCCTGCTCCACCCAGAGTGGTATTTTTCTTCATGGAACTGGTGGAGGTGCTCTTTGGGTGACTTAGTTCAGCTGCAAAGGTAGGAGTGAGAGATAGCAAGTGTTCATGCAGAGAGGGAAAATGGGAATCTTAAAGCCCCAGAAGAGGTGGGGGTTCAAGTTAAAGTTCCATAAAGTGGGGCATAGGGTATTACCTGGTGCAGACTTTGCAGTCATCTTCTTAATGTCCGCAGGTTTTCCCTCAGTCTTAATGGCTGCACAAACATATACTTATTAATATAACCTTTAACAAACTGACATTGAATGACTCATCCATACTGAAATTCATCATTCATTCAACAATTACTGAATGTCACTCTGAGCCAGGAGCTGTCTGAGTCTCTGGAAACAGAGTAGTAAATTAGATAGCAGTGTAAAGACCGTGCCGTTACGTAGCATACAAGGCCAGGCACTGTATCTTATTCTCCTCTATATCCTGACAATGCCTTTTACATGGCCTTAGATGTAGGTCATCAATACTTGCCTATGGAATTGAATTGCCTATTTCTTATCATCATGTAAGACCATCACCACAATGTGCTGGGTGCTGTGGAGACATTAAGCAAGGGACAGTAAATTCTACCTGGGAATTCATGAGAGTCTCCTTCACTAAAGATTTTTTGAATACACACAACTGCTAAGCTCACATGGAGATCAAGTCTTGTTAAGTACTGGACCCATCAGGCTGCCATTGTTCAATGCACCCCCTCTAAGGACTGGTACCTAAGCAGGTCTGCATAGCTGTCTGAGAAGCTGGTTAGAGCTATGGCTAGGGCAAAGCCAAGGCCAAATTCTCCTATCTACTGCTTTCCATGGGAGGAAGGATAGGCAATACTCACCAGTGGGCTTTTTGGGCAGGGGCGTAGGGGGGCTCCTACTGCTTGGCCCAGCTGCAGTAAGAGTGGCAGCTGTTGTGGCTTTTGGAACAGTCTGGGTGCTCTTGGATCCAGGTCTGAGGGCTAGGGCTGAGGCTGGCTTGGATGGTGAGGTCCGCTTCTCAGGAACCTTTGCCTCAGCAACAGGCTGGAAATAGGAAAGAGAGAGTGAGAACTGCAGGTCAGCAATAGCCCCAGGAGGTCATGTCAAAGGACTGTTCTATAAAATCAGACACCAGAGAACAGGGGATACTGTGGGTATAGCAGTTACTGACAGGAAAATTTATATGGCTCTAAGATCAAAGTCCTCCAGGCAAAGTGAGAAACTGGCCATGTAGGGTGCTGTCTGATGTGTGGTCAGGAAACAGGGAGTCAATCTACTTCAATGCAACCTGAATCAGAGAATGAGCAGCCCTGAAAAGTGCATCACATCACAATCTACATTCACCTCAGGATTTACTGCATTCCCTACTCATATTCAGGGGTGTGTAATGAAACCTAATGTATTAAATATTTGACCAAAGAAAGATTGAATAAACACATAAAAAACACAAAAAGTAAAAATCATGCTCAGTCCAATTCAGCCATTCCTCGGGGCCGGCCTGTGGCTCACTTGGGAGAGTGTGGTGCTGATAACACCAAGGCCATGGGTTCTGATCCCATATAGGGATGGCTGGTTAGCTCACTGTGTGAGCATGGTGCTGACAACACCAAGTCAAGGGTTAAGATCCCCCTACCGGTCATCTTTAAAAAAAAAAAAAAAAAAAATTTCAGCCATTCCTCGAGCTAACACACACCCAGAGAATGCAGAACAGGATAAAGCTGCAGATGGAAAGGCTACTGGCCAAATCTGGGTCAGAAGCCTGACCTCCAGCCCTAGTCCGGTCCCTAGCAGTGTGTTCTTGGGCAAAACACTAACCCTCTCTGAGCTTTTTTTCCCTCGTTGGGATAAAGGAGATTAGAACAGAGCATCACTAAAGTCCAGCTTCAATAACATGAGATGTTAGGGACTAGAGGATGACAGGTTTGACAGCACAGAGACAAAGAGAAAGGGCAGGCCTGACCAACAGAGGCATTGGTATCACGGTGATGAACTGAAAGCAAATGGGAAAATCAGCCAAGGAAGTACTTAGAAATCAAGGGCTGGCATCTAATCAAATAAAGTCTAACTCTGCAGATGCAGAGTAATAGACTATTTCTACAAACAGAGGCCCTAAGTACGGCTGGAGTAAGGAAGAACCCTAAGTTTGGAGTCAAGGTAATTCATTCTGCTACCAGCTCTGTCGGGAACATGCTGTAGGATTTTGTTAAGAGAGGTTCCCTGTCTGATTGCTCTAAATTTTTTTTTTCTCTTTTTTTCACCCGAGAAGTTGTGAATGAATGACTGCTCTAAAATTTGAGGAATAAACCAGATGCTCTCTGTTTCTCTTTCAAATTTTCAATGCTATCAATAGGATTCAGAATAATCTAATGTAGTCTTATTATTTGCTAGTAATAGTAATAATGATAAAATAAGTTGTAAAAAAAAATTATTGGGATAGAAATTACCGAAGGATATGATGTCCTTCAGATGTCAGGCTCTTGGCCTCAGCAAGCTACAGAGCCAGCCTGCCCTTATAACTGGAGTTATTCTGCTCTTTCTCAATTGATATTTTCTCCTCTGCCAGAATCACAGATCTACTTATTATTTCCTGAATAGGTTATTCTCCCTCTTTATCTTCTACAAATCTTTCTACCAAAATGAGAACAAAAATAATTTCAATAGAGTTTAGTTTTTAACAATCTCTCAAAATGTTTCCATCTGTTTCTTATCTAAAGGACCAACAACAGTAATAATTATAATGCAGATCACCTCTTTTAGGTCAGCTATATGTTGAAATGCTGCCTAAAAGCTGCATGGCAAAAAGCCTTAAAGTACAGCATTGATAGAAGCCCTGAGCATCAGCAATGGAGTTAGACCCAGGCCCCAATTCTGGCTCCGCTACTTACTAGCACTGAACTTTGGGAAGGTTATTTAACTGAGCTTAAGCTTCTTATCTTCAAAATGAAGACACTAACATGTACATCACAGGTGGTTAGGAGACAGAATTAAAGGAGTTAATGTATATAAGAAACAAGTACAGCACACTTCATTTTTATTACTATTACGGAGTGTAATTTCACTAGATACCTCTCCCTCCTCCCAACACCCTCCTCTATCTGCCCGAGCTGACCTGCAGCCATGGCTCCAGTCACCTTCTCTCTGCTCTCTTATTCAAATACATTGTTTTCTAAAGATCAAGAAAAGCAGCCAACTGGGTAAGTGAGGATCAGAGAGAAAGTTTGACGAGATTTTATCTTTCCTAATCTATGATAAGATTTCTTAGTTTCTTGGCCAGGGTTTCTACCTAGACTACATTTCCTAGGTTCCACTGGTTTTCTTTACAAGAGTAAATTAAGACATTGACATTTTAACATGGGAATCTATTTCCCATGTTCAATTTACAAAGCATCAACAGGCTTACCTCCAGGCCCTTTTGAATAAAACAAGCTGTCAAGGAAAACAGCCACAGCCTCCACCCACCCTCTACTCTTGGAACAGTTCTGCAGAGCAAATGCTGCTCCAAATGAGACCACTTTCTGGGCATTAAAGAAAGTGTGGGTGACTGGAGACTGGAAAACTTCAGATGTAGCCCAGTGAGAGGTAGCTTAATGCCAAAAGTAAAGGGAGTTCTTATATGATGCTAGAACATGCTGAGATAAGCTGGAAGAGCCTGTTATATCACAAAAGTGATGGGCAAAATTCACTTCCGCAGGATGATTCAAGAGAAAGACCAAGAATTGAATTTGATGTGGGAATTACACCAAAAAAGAATATCTGATTAATATATGGAGTAGGGGAAACTGGATAACAAGTGCTTAAATAGGTAAAGAATAAGGAGTAGTTCAGAGAAAGCAGGAGGAACGAAAGTAGAAAGAATACTGCCTCCAACCAGGGCTAGGAAAAGTAAAAAGTTTAAAAGGTCTTCAAAATGTTAGGCTGCATCAGTGGGTTCCCAAGCTGATTTTCATATCACCCTTCTCCATTTTCCCATGCCTTTTTCCGTTGTCTGGTAGCAGCAAGAGCTGTCTATCTGACACTCTGAGGAGCAAACTTTTCCCTACAATACTCAGGCAACAACTTACCTTTGGCTTCGTGTCTCTTGAAGGTAAGATGGAAGGCCTGGCAGTGGCGGCAGCAGGGCGTTTGGGTGGGGCAGCTGGTACTAAGCCTGAAGCAAGGCTCATGGGTTTTTTATTCGACCCACCAGAGGTGGTGAGAGCTGGCTGCTTAGGGAGAGAAGTGGGCTGTATTTTGGCTTTCGATGTTGAAGTCTTTGCAGGTTGAGTGGTGGCCAAAGGCTTTAGGTTGATTGTTGGATTTTTTATTTTTTATTTTTATTTTTTAAAAGTCAACATCAAACACACAGACAAGAATAAAAACAAATTAAAAAAAGTATAAATTGCACAATTCAAAGTAAAATTATAGGCAATGAGGACAGATGCAACTGAAAATTAGCATTCCTTTCTTCTGAGCTTACTAAACAGTGTAATGACACCAGGATACAGTTAAAGAAAACTGAGAATTGTTTCTTGATGACAGTGCCACAAATTCCAGCAGTTGGGCACCTGAAGATTTAAATCCAGTAGTAGCTTTAAGCAATTAACTAACTTGGTGGCTGCAATAATTCTATAAAGAAAATCATCAGCAGATGATTATGCCATTATTACCTGTACGTTGATGGAGCAGCATTAGCCACATCATAAAGTGTGACATTTGACCTTTGTAAGAAGTAGCAGTAAGTGTCTAGAACTATCCACTTTAACAATGAATCTACTTCAGAATACTTTTTTTTTGACCGTTAAGGGGATCATAAGTAACCCTTGGTGTCTGCACCACACTCAGCCAGCGAGCACACCGGCCATCCCTAAATAGGATCTGAACCCGTGGCGTCGGCACTATCAGCACCACACTCTCCCGAGTGAGCCACGGGCCGGCCCATACTTCAGAATACTTCTGCAACTCTCCTTTATGTTGTTGTTGTTAAGGGAAGCAGAAACAATCTCTATAGAACATTTTTACAGATAAATAAGGTAGCAGAGTCAAATGCAGAAATTTTAAAGTTTTGGTTAGGCCACTACAGTAAAATGGGAATAAAAGATATTTTCTAAGCATGTCCAAACTTGACGAAGGACTCATAATAGCTCAGAAAAAAAGAAATTTCATTCATGATTCAAGCAATAATAGCAGAAGATACTGTTTTTAAAAATTATAGCAGTAGAAGATAACCACCAATTTGGCACCTACCTTTGTTTTCTTCTCTGGGCTTGGTGGGAGCTCCTTGTTTGGTGGTGTGGTGATGTCATTTCTGGTCACACTCACAGCAGGCCGTCCTTCTTCTGGCCTGGCTATTCCTGAGAGGGGGTGGGGAGGTGGTGGGAATTAAGCTAAGCAAATGTTTTCACACCCATTTGAAAATGCAAGGCTTAGCAGAGACAGACCACTCACTAGCACTTCATTCTGAAAAAAATCCACAGGGCTATGCTGTTAAAACATGGACAAGACTCCTAAGTTTTCATTGTGACAGAGGACAGTTTTAGATTCCTGGGATTCAAGGACCTTGTCCCTGTGGAGAAGCAATCTAAATGGGATTTGCACAAATGATCAGTGAAAGGAAATGGCCCTTCCAGTTTGGTTTCCCTTCCCTGGAGACCATCAACAAGGTTCTGTCACCCAACCACTAGGCTCCTGGAGCACACAGGGGACAAAAACCTCTTCTAACAGAGTCTATCTCTTGGTTGCTGCGATGGGGTAAGAGCCAGAAGATCATCCAATATCCTCCCCTTATTTCCTTTCTCTGTAAAGAACCACTTTATGAAGGATGTGAGATTAACTTGATCTAGTTCTAGCAGTGACCCAGATTTTCAACAAGGCCAAGGACACCCATGGAACCAGACCCAGGATCAGAAATAAAGTCTACCACCTAAGGCAGCATAGCCTCCTCTCTGTGGAGAGGTTACTCCAGATTTTAATAGGGCTACGTTTGAAAGCATTAAAATACCAAGAAATTTATAACCTTGGTGTGGGGAAGACCTACCTAACTAACGCAAAATCTAGAAGCAACAAAAGGTAAGTTAGATTAAAGAAAAAGAAGAAACTTCAATGTGGCAAGAAAACACTACAATAAAAGTCAAAAGGCAAATGACCAAAAAAAAAAAAAAAAAAAAATTGAAACTCATATCAAAGATAAAGAGCTTATTATATAAATTACTTCTACAAATCAACAATTCCTACAAAGGCCAACAACCCACCAGAAAAATAACCAAAAAATATGAATAGTTTATAGAAAAAGAAATACAAATGTCTTTTGAAAATACAAAAAGATGTCCAATCTAAAGTATGAGAGAAATGAAAATTAAAACCACACTGAAATGACATTTTTAACCTAACATATTGTCAAAAGTCCTAAAACCTGTAAATAACTGTTGGGAATAACGTGGGGAAATACATTATTGGTAGGTATGTGAACTGGTATAATCCATAGGCAGGGCAGTCTGGCAGTGTCTCTGAAAATTACATGTGCACATAAATTCTAATTCACAAGTCCAGTTTCTAGAAATTTATCTTAGAGGTGTATTTATACATCTGCAAAACGGCAAATATGCAAGGTTTTCACCAGAACACTATTTCGAAAAGCAAAGGACTGAAACAACCCAAAACTCCTTAACAGAAAACTGGTTAAAGTATCATGGCAGAAATATCAATGTAATCTCTAAATCTGAAAAAATAAAATAAAGGATGAAGAAAATCTTTTATGACTGATATGTAATGATCAACATTAAGTTGGAAAAAAAGCAAGGCACATAACAGTATGTTTAACATAAACTCATTTGTCTAGGGAAGGGATGGGGGAAAATATACTATTACAAATATACTTGTATATGCATTTTTAAAGGATCTTGGAAGGATCATGATGAAACAAAACAACAGTAACCGAATCTTTTTTGGTGGGGGAGAATGGGACACAAAACTGGGGAGGTAGGGAAAGCTAAATGATTATAGATTCACAGGAAGCTGTGAGCAAATGTATAGGGAGGTCCTGTGTACCCTTCACCCATCCTCCTCCAATGTTGACATTCTGCATATATACAGTGCACTATCAAAACCAGTTCATGTTACCCTTTTACAGCCACAGGCACCCCACCTCTCTCCAATCCCTAAATCTTTGACAACTACCAATATTTTCTCCATCTCTATAATAACTTCCTCTACTAAGTCAAATAAGACTGGTGAGAGCAGGCATCCTTTCCTTGTTCCCAGTCTTAGGGGTAAAGCATTCAGTCTTTCATCATTAAGTATGATGTTAGCTGTAGGTTTTCTTCTTTTTTTTAAATTTTATTTTGTCGATATACATTGTGGTTGATTATTGTTGCCCCTTACCAAAACCTCCCTCCCTCCTCCCTTTCCTCCCTCCCACACCCAACAATGTCCTTTCTGTTTGCTTGTCGGAAGTTGTTATATCTTCTTCCCCCCCACCCCAGATTTGTGTGTGTGTGTGTGTGTGTGTGTGTGTGTGTGTGAGAATTTACTTATTAATTTTTAGCTCCCACCAATAAGTGAGAACATGTGGTATTTCTCTTTCTATGCCTGACTCATTTCACTTAATATAATTCTCTCAAGGTCCATCCATGTTGTTGCAAATGGCAGTATTTCATTCATTTTCATAGCTGAGTAGTATTCCACTGTGTAGATGTACCACATTTTCCGTATCCACTCATCCCATGATGGACATTTGGGCTGGTTCCAACTCTTGGCTATTGTAAAGAGTGCTGCAATGAACATTGGGGAACAAGTATACCTTCAACTTGATGATTTCCATTCCTCTGGGTTTATTTGTAGGTTTTCTGTAGATGTTATCAAGTTGAGTAAGTTCCCTCTCTTTTCTTAGTTTGGTGACAGTTTTATCATGAATAGGGGTTAGATGTTGTTGAATGCTTTTTCTCTGTTTATGATTTTTCTTTAGACTGCTGATATGCTGGATTACTTTTATATATTTTTATCTTTTTGATTATTGAACCAGCATTGCATATCTGGAATAAACCCCACTTGGTCATTGTGTATAATTCTTTTCATATATTGATGGAAGTGATTTCCTAACATTTTGTTAGAAATTCTTATATCTAAGTTCATTAAAGATATTGGTCTGAAGTTTCCTTTTTTTTTTTGTTACTGTCATCTGGCTTTGGTATAAGAATAATATTGACCTCATAAAATGAGTTAGTGTTCTGTTCCCTAAGTGTAAAATCATTATTTTTTGAATATATGACAAAATATTCCAATGAAACCATCTGGGCTGAGGATTTCTTTTACAGGAGATTTTAAAGTATAAATGTAATTCCCTTAATGTTTATCCTGGTTATCTATTTCATCTTGACTGAGTTTTGGTAATCTGTGGTTTTCAAGAAATCAGTCCATTTCTTCTAAGTTGTTGAATTTGTGACTATAAAGTTGCTCCTAGTATTTCTTTATTATTCTTTTAATCACTGTAGTGATACCCCATTTCATTCATGTTATTGGTGATTTGTGTGTTCTCTTCTTTTTAATCTTTGTTAAAGATTTGTCAATTTAAAAATTTTTTCTAAAGAACCAACTTCTGGTTTAATTAATTTTCTTTTCCTTTAAATAATTTTTTTTTCTTTTTTTCTTTTTCTGGTGGCTGGCTGCTACAGGGATCGAACCCTGGACCTTGGTGTTACCATGCTCTAATCAAGGTTTGATTAATTTTCTTTGCTATTTTCTTGTTTACAATTTCACTGCTCGCTTTGGATTTATTTTGCTTTTCTTTTTCTAGTCCTTTGATGTAGCAACTTAGGTTACTGATTTAAAACCTTTCCATTTTTCTTTTTTTTTTTCCTTTTTGTCTTTTTTACTGACTGGTAACGGGATCGCAACCCTCGGTGTCGCGCCTGCACTGGGGACCGGCAACAGGATCGCAACCCTCAGCGTCACGCCTGCACCACGCTCAGCCAGTGAGCGGGAACCGGTCTCCACATGGGATCCGAACCCTCAGCGGGAGCGCCACCGCGCTCACAAGCGGCGCACTCACCAGTGCGCCACCGGGCCGGCCCTAAAACCTTTCCATTTTTCTAAGCATGATTTCCCCTCTCAGCACTATAGTAGCTGCATTCCATCAATTTTGATATGTTATATTTTCATTTTCTTTCTTTCTTTTTTTGTGCGGCTGACCAGTGCAGGGATCCAAACCCTTGATATTGGTGCACCACGCTCTAACTAACTGAGCTAACCAGCCAGCTCTGTATTTTAATTCAGTTCACTGTATTTTTAAATTTCCTTTAGGACTTGCTCTTTGACCCAGGGATTATTTAGAAATTTACTGTTTAATTTCCAAGTGTTTGAAGATTTTCTTGTAGTCTTTCTGTTATTGGTTTCTAATGTGATTCCATTATGGCCAGAGGATACATTCCATGTAATATCAGTCTTAAATTTATTGAAGTTTGTTTTATGACCCAGGATCCATCCTGGTAAATGTTCCATGGGTGCTTAAAAAGAATGGTACTCTGCTGTTGTTGAACAAAAATTCTATAAATGTCAGTTAGATCCTGTTGTTTGATGGTACTGTTAAATTCTGTTGTATCTTTACTAATATTCTCTCTGTAGTTCTAATCAGTTGCTTACAGTGAAATGTATTAGTCCCCAACTATAATTGTGGCTTTGCCTATTTCTCCTTTTAGCTGTTTTTGTTTCATGTACTGTTTTTTGGTGAGTATATATTTAGAATTGCTATGTCTTCTTAGTAGATTGATCCTTTATTCTTTTATCTGACATCTACTTTGTTTGATATTAATAAAGCCCCTCTTGCTTTTCAGAACATTTATGTTAATGTAATATATCTTTTTACCTTCAGCCTACTTATGCCCTTATGTTTGACATGCACTTCTTGTAGATAGCATATACTTGGGTCATTTAAAAAAATCTATTTTAATCTGTTTTTGATCATTTGTATTTAAGGTAATTGCTGATATATTAGAGCTTAAGTCTGACATTTTATTATTTGTTCTGTTTCGCATTCCTCTGCTTCTCTTTTCTTGCCTTCCAGGGGTAACTTGAAATTTTTTAGAAGTCTATTTATAGGGCCAGCCCATGGCTCACTTGGGAGAGTGTGGTGCTGATAACGCCAAGGCCACAGGTTCAGATCAGTATATAGGAATGACCAGTTGGCTCACTTGGGAGAGCTTGGTGCTGACAACACCAAGTCAAGTCAAGGGTTAAGATCCCCTTACTGGTCATCTTTAAAAAAAAAAAATTCCATTTTTACTTTTTAAATAATGTTTTTGAGTATATTGTTTCTCTAGTTTTCTTAGTGGTTGCTCTAGTTATTACAATATACATATAG